ATAATTAACAAATAATTTATTCTTAAATTGAAATCCTCCAATACTTGTCTGCTTTATTATCCTGCAAAAATTTTGAATTCCCCCTGAATGCAATAATATATAGCAGTGATGGCGAACCTTTTAGAGACCAAGTGCCCAAAAACTGGCCCCACCCCGCCCCCACTCCACCCCCTGCCCCACCCCCACCCTGCCTGCCTGCAGAGCCACTCACCGCCTCCAGGGTCTGCCACAGATCGCCTAGGCAGCCCAGCAGCGCCATGGCGACCACGCTCTCTGCCCGTGCCACGTAGCATGGACTGTGCACAATGGGGCGTGAGGGCAGAGTCTTGTCTATGCTGCCTGGCTGCCATGTCCTTGGCTGTGGTGCTCCGCGTGGGCCACACTCAGGGGCAACTCTCCTCCAGGGGGGCTGCTGGTGAGGAGGGGGTCACGGGGGGAGGCAAGGCTGGGGCAACGGCACATGTGCCCACAGAGAGGGCTCCGAGTGCCGCCTCTGGCACGCGTGCCATAGGTTCGCCACCACTGATATATAGTATACCTCCAATTACAATAGTAACGAATAAGGTGCCTAACATTAAAAAGCCTACAATATTTGCTCGAAAGAAAGCCATTTTTCAATTTAGAATGGCACTTCAACAAGCAGAGTAGATAGAAAAAATGAAAACAAATTAAAATCCTGTGCAATATCAGCTTCTCTACTACACCAAAACCAGATAGAGCTGTATGCATTTATTGCCTTTAAAATGAAAATACAGTGCTTTAATTTGTAAAAAGCATTAATTTCCAATCTATTATTCTTCCTTTTACACCACGCTCACCACGTGGAAACCCCCTACACACCCACCCACCCACACACACACACACACACACAATGCCTTTCTCTTTCCAACATGAATAGCAGAACAAGGGATGCAATTAAAGGCAACTGAGATACCCACTGGCCTTTCTTTCTATCAGCATCTCACATCTCACCTTCCATGTATCCATGTTTTGCGGTCCAGTAATCTCGTTGTTCACTTTAGGAAACATAGGAGAGAAGCTATAATTCATTAGCACAGCACGTTTTGCATGCAAACAACCTCAGAACAATTCTGGCATCTCCAGTAAAATTGGGAAAGTACTGGAGTATTCTTGCTGGTCAGTGATCTCCAAAGTGGTTTCTGATATTCAGACATACCCCAAGAGGTGTTAGTCATATACTGTACCAGTATATTGTTGAAAAGACTTCGAGGCATATGACAAGATTTTTACATCAAGAACTTTATAGTGAGCTGATTTATAGCTAATTTGGTCTGATATAATGCTAGTCCTATGAAGAACAGATCACTATATCTAGTAACTGTTGAGTAAATTTTCCTCTAAAGAGGTCCTTGGAATTTCTTTCTTCCATGATTTGCCATTTCTTTCAGATATCCTTCGTGAATTCAATGCTAACCTCACAGGTTATTCAATTGGTATTGGTGAATTTATTGAGGCAAATGCGTTTCTCAATCAGGCAGTTCCAGGAGCACAGGCTAGGTATGTTTTTTTTTT